AAAAAAACACCTTTAACGATACGAATCCTGAAAATGAAAGTCACGACTATGAACAAGGAAATAATGGAAACTCCCCTAGTAACGGCAATTCTCATCAAAATGAATGTCTTGTGGATAACCCAAACCACCGATTCCAACAGTTGCTTCAGATCATGGTAGATGCATTGGCACAATCCAAGAAACCTCAAGCAAATCTTGGCAAAATTGATTTGGTAAAGATCCCAATGTTTAGTAGAGGAAAACAAGACCCTATAGAATACTTGAAGTCAATAAAATGAGCATTCGAAGTAAACAATATCGTAAGAACAAGATGGCTCGTGGTTGTGGCTGCCCACCTATTTGGTCCTGCTATACTGTGGTAGGAACGAAAAAAAAGTTGGATACTATACTGAAACGATCAAGCAATACAAGACCGAAGTTTCATATACCAATTCTGGCAAACTTTCTGCATACCAGCTCTAATAAACCAGTAGACTACAAAATTATTAACTTGATAGCAACAAGTGGGCAAGACAGTAGAACAGTATACTGTCAATGTGGTGTCCTTGTTTGCATGTATATCGGCTGTGAGAATCCGGTACCAAGAAGTAACGCAGGTTTAAGTATTCGTGCAAGGCCTCTGTTCCGAATTATCATAAGCCATTAGATCCTTTATGCTCAATATACTACAAAAAGCCATCAAACAAGCCCAAATATATGAAACAATGGTAGCACAAGTATTAGTCGTGTATGGACCCACCCCAACTAACAACATAGTAGCCCCATCATCGATATGCCAAACGACTTGCCCTGTAAATTCTCCAGTAACAACCTCTGACCTGCAAATACCTTATATAATGCAGTCTGTAAGCTTTAAAGTACCGACCACTGTATCTCCGTAATAAATAGCCCAGTAAAACAAACAGTGAAAATACACTGCCTGCTTGAAAGAAGTCGACCAACCATTGCTACCAGAAAACATGAAGGTGGCCACGAGTATAACAATAATATATCCTGTCGCATGAGTTGTTGAACATTATAAAGGTTTCATTAAGAAATGCTCAAGCTCTCCATAACCTAGAAAATGGAGGTCAAAATAGAATTCAAGTTGAAAAGGATGTGCATACAGCACCTGATAGTGACCAAGCATTAGTGCTCGGATCATACAGACCTTCTTGTTGTTACCAAAACGAAGTCAATATCGAAAAGTATAAATTTAAGACACCCATTAGTTATCAAAACCCTACAAAAATAGAT